TATCCTAAAAATAACAGTGGATAATTAAATTTAAAAGATTAAATTAAAAACTAAGTTTATTAAAATTGAATAGAAGAATTAAGTGTTTGGCATAACTTAAGAATGTAATCAATGTATTTTTAACTATCAAATCATATAAAATATCCCTCCATTTATTTTTACTAGTTTTATTTTGATTTTTTTTAACTTTTTAGATATAAATTTTAAATAAAAATTTAATATATTATATAAATAATAATTAAAAATATTTTTTAATCAAATAAAAGTATTCAACAAGAATTTTATGTAATAAGAAAAGAGTTTTCAATTAGTATTCGTATAAATTATTAAATTTTTATTTAAAATTCATATAACAAATTAAAAACTAAATTAAATCTATTAAAAATAAATAGAATATTAATTTTAATACTAATACTATATGTATATTTTTATGCATACAAAAAGAAATAAACTAGAAAGTAGTGATGGGAGAAAGAAGGATGACCTTTGTCGGGGCTTGTGAATGGAGGACTTGATCTTGTTTTTAATGCTAACTATTTAGCTTGAACCTCTGATACTCAAGAAAATAGCCCATAATCTAAAGTTGCAGCATGCTGTCTTCCAACCATGATGTTTTGCAGGTCTAGAAAATATTCTATAGTGTTGGAAGTGCAAAAATATAATAAAAATGGTGATTTTTGGATATTTTTGGTGTATATAGAGAGAGGTTGAAGATGAAGGGTTTTTTAGAGGAGAAAATGGAGTTTGGTGCATGAAAAAGAAACTTGCATTTTTTTGGTGAAATGAAAATTTGCTAAAAAAAGAGGGAAAAATCAAAATATATATGTACCATGGCATTTTGGTTATTTTGGGTTGATGGGTTAGAGTTGCCTAGCACTCCACTAGGTAGATCTAAGTTACGTAAGGATAATTATCAAGTTTTAAGTGGTTCTAGGTACTGCTAACAGTTTTTTGAAGTGATATAATAAATTATCTAGTAGTTCCAATGAAGGATCGCTAGTTCTAGCGAAGTATTGCTGGTTCCAGCAAGGCAAAGTACCACTGGTGTCAACGAAGTATTGCTAGTTTCAACGAAGTATCATTGGTTTGAGCAAAGGACTGCTAGTTTGTTGAAAACTCCCCATTTTTAGTAACTCTCTACCCATATGAAATACTATTTTTAGGGGGTATTTGAGTATAGCTGGCAAAGTCAAACCTGTCCAAGATTTTGGTAGATTTTCCAAGCAAAACGTAATCTTTTTCAACAATTTCCAATGCAATGGAACTTGTGCAACCATCCTTTTCAATAGTTTCTAATGTACTAGAACTTGTGTAGCCATCCTTGTATTAAATACAGCTGCAACTCTCCGATGGAAACTTAAAAAACATCTTTGGTTGGTTTTTAACTAGATTCTAGGTCTTCTAGTTAGCATCAAATGGTACAATTTTGGGATCAAGTATTGCCTCAACATCTTCGCTACCTAACCCTTCCTGGTGAAGTTGAGCAACATTACTAGCTTCAAGCTTGGCTGACACGAATACCTCATTTCACCAAACGGGCAACACTCATACATCCATGCTTGCTAAGCCACTACTCTCATAGTTTATGCCAAATAATCCCCATGAGCTTGGATTCATGGATTCATTGATGACCTACATATAGATATAGTGATTAGTTGATGAAAATGATGAAATGTAATAAATAAAAAAATAATAAAGGAAGGAGACTTCCTATATATATTTGATAATGTGGCAATATACTGTAGCATTAGATATTTTTGGGTTTTTTGGTAAATGCACATTGGAGGCATTAATGGGTAGTTAGATGGAGGTGGGTCTTGGTGATGTGAAAACTATTTGAGTCCAAATTTGACATTTTACAAAAAAAAAAAAAAAATGTCCATCAACATACTTATATAATTCTAATTAAGTAATTAATAAGATTAAAATTAATTTTTTTAGTAACAATTATTAAAAAATACAATAAATATACCTAAAGCCCTTAAAAAACTGAAGATATGTATTATCCATTTCTCTTATGAGTGTGGTTATAGTTACATATTAATGAATTAGTTAAGATCTCACAATATTATTCAAAAAATATTAATTTTACTTAATTTAATTGTTAAAAGATAATTAATATTTATTATTTAATAAATTAAAATTAAAATTTTTAAATATCTTAATTTACTATTTAAAAAAAAAAAAACAAATATCCATCAAACTAAACAAAATTTGTATGATCCTAATAAAGTCTTAGTCACCGTAACCACACACATTTCTCTTAAGAGTAATGCTCAATGTCTGATGATTTTACCAGTAAATTATCAAGAAAGTGATATTGATGTTCGTTTCAACCCCCTGGATTCCCCTTTTCCTTTCTCCTCTTAGTTTGTCTTTTTTTTTTTTTTTTTAATCTCTTGATATCCAATAATTATATTAAATTTTAATTAATTTAAAATCGAATCATATCGAATCTCATTAAAAAAAAAAAGTTCTCTTAAAACTTATTTTTTATTTCACAAAACTCAAATTCAAAATTTTATTTAAAAAGAATCGATTTTCTTATATTTGAACTAACAAATAATTGATTTTTCTTCCCTTAGTATTTGATGAATGGTTGTAATATTGTTAAAAAAAAAAATTACAGATGATGACATATCAAAAAAGTAGCCACCTTGAAAGAAAATATGTAATTAAGGATATTAACTTTATATTTTTTTTATTTAAAGATGCTAACTTTAAACTCTTTTTATTTAAGAATTAATTGAATAATAATGCTAAGGTGAAAAATGGATTTTTTAACTAAAATATTAAAAATTAGCATCATTAAATAAAAAAAATTAAAAATTAACATATTTATTTAAAATTAATAAAATTAATATTTTTAAATAAAAAAATTATAAAATTGATATCCTTATTTACATTTCATCCTTATTTACACATTTGCTGTTCTTCCAACTTTCTTCGACGCAAGCAAATTCTTTTTTGGTTTTTCTTCAAGTATCTGGGGTTTCGCCCCAACTAATCCAGATTGATCCGCGTCGCGCACCTAAAAATGGTAGATGAATCTCCCAACAAAAACTGTTGCGTACACAAGATCTCAAACTCGAGATCTTGCTTAATCTGAAATAAATCGCTTACCACTTGATTCAACCACACGGTTACGTAAGCAAGTTGCATCATCAGAATGTGCTGTAGAGCCACATATTGATTGGAAAAACTGTAACAAAATTTACTGGGATTGTGAACAAGAGATTCATCATTGCCAGGATTGTGGGAGAAAAGCAAAATGAGATCCGTCTTTAAATTTTTTTTTT